GCATCTGGGCCATACGTGCATGGGAACGACGCCAGATCACCGGGCAATATGAGTTCGCAGTGACCTGTCAACATGGCCCATGTGGGGGGGTAATGACTCTACCAGCTGGTTGTGTACATTGCAGGACCACAGTCTAAGATCATGTGACCAAACTCCATACCTGCCACCTATCAATCCTACATCAATCAATAAAAAAACAAGGCTCTTTTCACTTGCTAAAAGAACAACCCGGGCGATCAGAACTGAAATAATTTTCCAGAGCCCAGTGCTGTCTCACAACTAACAGGACATTCCAAAAACTTCGTCATCTGATCGTACAAATTCGAAGAGGTGGAAACAGCCACTACCTTCTTCCCCCGAACATAACGCATATGAGTTGTATTCGAGTTTTTAAATAAAAATAAAAAAATCGAATCGAACGCACATGCGTTGTATTTGAAATTCAGGGCTATTCGAATAGAACGCATATGCATTTTATTCGAACACAACACACCATATGCGTTGTATTCGTTTACAGCACGTGTTATGTTCGGGGGAAAAAAGGCAGGGCTGCCTTACACAACCCAGTTCCCCCCGAATGGAACACCACATGACCACAACAGCATCCACATTCGGGCAGATACCAATATGTGGAGCCCACATTCTATTCAGGGAGAACCCAGAGAAGGCAAAAAAATGGACACTCATCCAGCACGATTGAGTAGGTGTTTCTCTCCAACCCACCCTCTTCCAATCTGTTCTAAATGGGGTCTGAGAAGCCCCACACCCACTCCCACTCCCACGGTGTGAAGAGAAACCCGCCCTCTTCCAATTTGTTCTAAATGGGGGTTGTGAAACCCCCGCACCCCACTCCCATGGTGTGACGAGAAACCATCCCTCTTCCAATTTGTTCTAAATGGGGATTGTGAAGCCCCGCACCCACTCCCACGGTGTGACGAGAAACCCACCCTCTTCCAGTTTGTTCTAAATGGGGGTTGAGAAGCCCCGCCACACCCACTCCCACGGTGTGAAGAGAAACACCCATTCCCAACAAAGAACATACTACCTAGACAACTAGACGGAGAGTTCCACTGCTATCAAACACATCATGAGCTGCATAGCAAGACATGACACAACAGCACATAGCATGACTCCTTAAGCCACCAGTACTTGGCCCAGCTATCGATGCCGAGCCTAAAACCGTCCTGCGCGACAAGTTCCACCGAACCGCCAGCGCACTGTTTGTTTTTTTTCTGTTCGCTGGCGCCTCCTCCATCCTTTGTGGTCCGGTTCCCCGAAGCGCGCAGGTCGTGGCGCGTTAACTGCTAAGGCCCGTGGCCGATAGCTGTCCCAAGCACTGGTGGTTCAAAGCACCCGTACATCTGAGGCCCCCTTCTTGCCGTGGCGGATTTGCACTGCGCACCAAGCTTTGCCCAACTGCCAGCGGGCACTATCTTCCTTCTTGACTGGTGCCCCCAGCCATCGTGGGCTGGCAGCCCCAAGCCCCCAAAATTTACGGTTTGGTTCGATTTCCGTTCTCAAGTTTTGCCTGCGCGATGGACTGGCGGCTTACCACAATGCCAGACAAAGCAGAAAGGTATATTGGCGTTGCATAGCAGCGGTAGCATGTGTTCTCGTATATTGGCCCACCTCTTCTACAAACTGAGGCTCAATAACAACAATAACACGTCTTCTTGCCTTCGCCATTGCTCTTTCCTCAAGTATTACTCGCCACATTCTTTTACAAATCTTGGGCACAACAATTCAGTCTACATGGAGAGATTTGGCCACCTCCCCGACAGGTCTGATCATGTGCGGGTTCAGCACATCATAGTCAGGTGCCTAAGAGGTAACCCAAATAGACATCGGAAGAATGGTGCTTTCAATTACTCTTATGTGCGGCCCTCTTGACATGAGAATGCCTCCCACCCTCTCTTTCCAGCCTATCCGTGTCCCTCTTGTGTTCTCTCCTCTCTCGCCCTCTGCTCTCTTCCTTCCCTCTGTCTGTCTATCCCTCTCTCTCCCTCTTGTCTGTCTCTCTCCCTTCAAGTCCCTCGTATCCCTCTAGTGCTCGCTCTCCTCCCCCTCACTCTCTCTCACACACTCCCCCTCACTCTACCTCTCTCTCCCTCCTCTCTCTGCCTCCGTTCCCCTCTCCCCCTTTTCTCTCATTCTCTCTCCCTTCTCTCACTTTCGCTGTAGGTCAGATTTTTTTTCTCATAGCCAGTCAACTGTCTCAATCCCCCTGCCCTTGCAGAATACATTGCTCTTCAACTTGAGATCAGCACTAGAAGCCAAATCTTATGGAATAGTAGACTTGGTTGGTGAAGATCCAACAGCTACTCCATCGGTGTGGTTTCGTTGGCCTTCTTTATTAGACTCCAAAGACTCAAATGAAAAATGAGAAAAAAAAAATGAAGAATATTCAGTCAGTTTCAAGGTCTCTTCAATCTTTAGTAAATTGCTGGGATGAACAGCAATTTACTCCTGGTTTGCCTATTATTCGAGTAGGAGATATTTTAAAAGTCAATCTTATAGTTCAAGAAGCTAATAAATCACGTTTTCAAGCAATAGAAGCTACTGTGATTGCTAAGACAAGTAGTAGGTCTAATAGGATAGTTAATTTACGTAAAGTAGTTCACGGAATTGGGGTAGAACGTTTAATTCCTATTCATTCGAGTATGGTAGCGACTCTTCAAGTAATAAGACATTCTAAAGTACGAAAAGCTAAGCTTTACTATTTACGTTCTTCATTTGGAAAAAAAAGATCTGTTCGAGACTTCCTCTCTCCCTCTGTCTCCTCCCTCCCTCTCTCTCTCTCTCTCTCTCTCTCTCTCTCTCTCTCTCTGTGTCTACGGTAAAGTGTCAAATTCTCCCCATAGCCATCACATATGGTTGTAAACCAAGGGTTCAGATCCTCCCCATAGCCATCATCTATGGTTGTAACCACAGGTGAAACTACCGTCTTCACCCAAATAGAACGCCAGGTCATTATTGCTGTATCTGGGCTGAAAGTTGTGCCAAATACAGCTATAATGACCGGGCGTTCTATTCGGGTGAAGACGGTAGCCATAAAAAGTGGTTAAACCCTGAGTACGGATGCCACCCGCAGGCGGGGCCGGGTGGGCCGCCCGGGCAAACCGGGCGGGCAAAAAAACAACCCAGAAATAATTCTTTTTTTTTTGGAAAGTGGGGTCCTTCTGCGCTCGGCGAGAGGACCCCGAATCTGCAATAAAAATTCTGGTTTGGGGGGGGAACGGGTTGTCTGGGTGCAAGAGAGGGGGAGGGGGGAGAGGGGGGGTTCTGGGTGTTGGGGACTCTGCATGTATGTTGCCTGCTGTTTGCTGCATGTGTGATACCAAGTACATACCTGGGTATGGTGGCGCCGGCGGCAGGGTGGTAGGGTAAGGTGGCGGGGTATGGCGGCGGGCTGCAGCGGCGGTCCTACAAGAAGAAGAAGAAGAAGAAGAAGAAGAAGAAGAAGAAGAAGATGGGCGGAAGAGGAGGAGAGGAGGAAGGAGAAGAAGACGAGGGCGAGGCGGATGAGGAGAGAAGAAGTAGAAGAAGAAGAAGAAGAAGAAGAAGAAGAAGAAGAAGAAGAAGACGAGCGGAGCAGTTTTTTTTTTTCCCCCTTACCTGTGAAGAAGAAGAAGAAGAAGATGACGAGCGGAGCAGTCTTTTTTTTCCCCCTTACCTGTCGTTTATCTCGCGACCTATCGCTGATGAATGTAACAAAAAAAAAAGAAGATAGTCGGAGGAGTCGGAGGAGTCGAAGAAGAAGAAGAAGTCGGAGGAGTCGAAGAAGAAGAAGAAGGAGTCGGAGGAGTCGAAGAAGAAGAAGGCATCGGAGGAGTCGAAGAAGAAGAAGAAGGAGTCGGAGGAGTCGAAGAAGAAGAAGGCATCGGAGGAGTTGAAGAAGAAGGAGTCGGAGTCGTCGAAGAAGAAGATTTAGAAGTCGGAGTCGTCGAAGAAGAAGAAGAAGTCGGAGGAGAAGAAGAAGTCAGGAGTCGAAGAAGAAGAAGAAGAAGAAGTCGGAGGAGAAGAAGAAGAAGAAATCGGAGAAGAAGAAGAAGAAGAAGAAGAAAGGGGGACGAGCAACAGGCGACGGGCGACTCCACGACGCTGGCGATGGGCAACGGACGACTCCACGACGGCGGGCGAGTGCAGGTCGCAGGCGATGGCGACAACGGGCAGCGCGAGGAGCGAGGGCAGCTCAACGACGAACGCAGGCGGCTAGAGAAGGGGCCCCGTTTGGACAGCCAATGCAGGCCGCCCCAGCCAGTCGATTGTTCAAACGGGGCCTTGGTTTTCCCTCCAAAAAACAAACGGCCCTCTGGCCGTCGATCATGGATGATCGACGGCCAGAGGGCCGTCAAAAAAAAACAAAAAAAAAAAACAGGCCTCACGGGCCCGACGCGCCGTTTTCTGGGCGGGGTCGGACCCGGTAGGCCCTGGGGAGGCCAAATCTTGGCGATTCGGGGTCGGAACCCCCCCGCCAACAAGGTGTGCTGGGGGTGTCCGGCCCCCAACCGGGCCGCCTGCCCGGCCAGGTCGCCCGGGACCTCCCCCGGGCAGGCGCTGGTCGGCCGCGCGGCCCGGATCCGTACTCAGGTTAAACCACCCCACTATGTCAGAGGGCCTCTGCATTCTTCCTGATGACATGGTGTCGTGGGGGAGCTCACACAAAAAAACGGCCTCCAAGATTTCTGAACTTCACCTGTCGGATACCCTGAAGTTGATCTGGTCCGATTTTACCGAATGTTTGTTCCTCCAAGCATCATCTTCCCGCCCTGGACTTCTTCGGTGTGCCAAAAACAAAATGAACGGGGGGGTAGCCAAAAATATTTTCTTTTTGTTTGGCGCTGCGGCCGCTGCCATCCATATTGCTCGGTAGCGCAAGCCGTGTGGGAACAAAATAGTTTGCAAATTGTAAACTCCCGTGTATAGTCTGCAAATTGTAGTTGCGTATGTTTTACAATTGTAGGTGCAACCAGGGTGATTAACAGTAGATGGAAACATACCCGACAACCAGCCAATGGTGCAATCACTCGAACAACACCCCAACCAAGTCTGTTCTGGGAACCATCTGCAAGAATAAGTGATCCAGAGTGTCCTGATGCAGCTACCAGAAGATGTACGGCCCTCTCCTTTCCCTTCTCAAAGGCCACTCTACACACCATAGAATCACCTGCAGCTGCGTCACCGACCAGTCCAGACCACAATTGGATCGGATCACAAATCAAACCTCTTGAACCACCCAGATCTTACACTATATCAAAATATATTTGACAAACAGATGCCAACGATAGAGGAACAAGCATTGAGAGCACCAAACAGACACACAGAGAGAGCGCGCGCGCGCGCGCGCGCGCGCGCGAGAGAGAGAGAGAGAGAGAGAGAGAGAGAGAGAGAGAGAGGGTATGGTATAGGCTTCGCAGGGGCACAGGCAGACACCATATCAAAATATATTTGACAAACAGATGCCAATGACCGAGGAACACGCAACAGGCATCAAGAGCACCAAACAGACACACAGACACACACACACACACAGAGAGAGAGAGAGAGAGAGAG